AGATTTGCACTCTATTCATTTGCTGCTTGTTTTCTTTAAAAAAAAGAAAAAAATAACACTAGCTTTCTAATCTTTTTGTATTCTGTTTTCTTTTCATTTATAATACAATTAACAAAAGCAAAAAAGACCTCCAACACTAGCTTGCTCTATTCTTTTTCTATTCTATCGGTTTTTATTTATTATATTTAAAAACCCTTGCTACGTGTACTGCGTTAAGCTAACTGAGACTTGTTATAGCACTTGTTATTATATTATTGCTCTTTTGTTGATTTTGATTGCTTCCATTGTCCTCATTTTTAAGTCACTTTGGATAGAAGCATCTGCTAAATGACTAAATGTAAATAAATGTATATATTGGAGTATGTCAAACACGTAGCCCTTGAGACTATTTTATCCCTTCAGGGAGCGCTCTCTCACAAAAAGGTTGGAGACCCCTGGTCTAAACATTCTTAGGCATTACTTTTATTATCGTCTAAACATTACTTTTATATTGTTTTGATTTATAGTACATAGAACATAAAAACATCCTCACATCGTAGCATTAAATGCAATGAAAGATTGCCATATTTCAAAATGTTGCACTCGATTGCACACATTTTAGTCTGGAATTATAGTTTGGGAAAAGTCCAACTAGTAAATGCATTCAAGTTTATGTCACAATAACACGTTATCTAATGCCAATAAGAAACATTACTTACTCGGCATAAATGATCTCCTCCACTGGATCAAGCCGTGGGTTGCATCTCCTTCTTCTTCTGAGCTAAACAAAAAGCTTTTTTCTCCCAGCACGTCTTCTTCTGAGGTAAACAAAAAGCATCTTCTTCTCAGCGGGTCTTCTTCCAGAAACGAAAAATATCCGAGTTGAACATGTTGCTGCTTTGTTTACAGAGGTGATGTGGGCGTTTACATGTCCGCGCGTCTCATGCATAAGCCCACTCAACCTGAAGTATGGCAGTCTCTAAGGCTTTTTTTCTGGTGTGTTTGATGTTTGTGAGTTTGAGGGCTGATCTATCCCGGTCACCTTTGTCAGGTTTTATAACCTAGGTTTGGGGACCACTCCAGGCTCTAGAGTGCTTTTGTCTTGAGAAGTGCGCATTGACTTCACACTACGTCAGTCTGGCAGAGTTGGTATTCTCATTCTCAAAGCATTCCAATGCAGCTCAAGTTCCTGAAGGGGAACGTTCCTAGGTTATGTCTGTAACCATGGCTCCCCAAAAGGAAAGATACACTGAATCACCCTGACATACTTCCTGCATCCCTGTGAGTGCTTGCTTCGACCTATCAGAAGCTAACAATGTTTACACCGGATGCGCTTTTAAGCTTCCTGGTCACTATGTCACCCCAGCCGTGATGTCCCGCCACTCTATTGGACTGATTTCAAATGTGCTTCAGTACATGGTCACGCGTTCCAAAAGCATTCAGATGTAGCATCTCATTACCTTCAATCTGTATTGTATAAAGCATTATATAAATAAAGGTGACTTGACTTGACTAATGTTACTTATTGCTATAGTTATCGTCTGTTGGTGTAAACACTAATATAGTTATTGTTATAGGAAAGGAAAGGAATGGATGTGTGGCCAAGTATGGTGACACATATGTGGTATTTGTGCTCTGCATTTCACCCATCCAAGTGCACACACACAGCAGTGAGTAGTGAACAAACACACACACCGTGAACACACCCAGAGCATAAGGGCAGCCATTTTTGCTGCGGCACCCGGAGAGCAGTTGGGGTTTCCGTGCCTTGCTCAAGGGTCTCACCTCAGTCGTGGTATTGAGGGTGGAAGAGAGCGCTGGTCATTCACTCCCATCACTGACAATTCCTGCCGGACCTGAGACTCGAACCTGCGACCTTTTTGGTTACAAGTTTGACTCTAACCATTAGGTTACTGCCCCAATAGTCAGCTAGTGTGAACACTAATATAGTTATTGTCCACTGGTGTGAACACAATTATATTAGCATACACACTAGCTGACGATAACTATATTAATCATCATAGTTATTGTCCCCTGGTGTGAATGCTAAAATAGTTATTGTTATATCTTTATGGTTATAGTTTTTGGTGTGAACAGGCTTTAAGACAAACAGGAATTGACTCACAGGAAATGTGATCTGGTTCGGGAAGTTGCCTTCTGGACAGGTGTCAAGCACAGACTCTTCAATCGGTCCACCAATGCCACAGCAGTCTAACTGGCACACAGACACACACAGCTGTTAGATTATGTTTCCACTGGTTTACCTTCATCATGAGCCGATGTCCTCATAATGTGGTGTGTATTCAGGGTTCAGGCCACATCCCCAACATACAGATGTCCTCATAATTCAAATCATTAAATAAACATGAAAAATATTTTATTTTTTATTAAAAATGTAAAAAATGCAGATCGTTCTCCTTTAGGAGTATGATTATGGTTAGAGACTAAACAAATATTGGATCAGAATAAAACCTTTATGTGTATGGGATGTCGTCATAATCATAGGAGTGTCAATGTTAGGGTGAACATACTTCCATTTTTTCCCAGACATGTCCTGGCCACGACTTCTAAATCGCCTAAAATGTCTGCATTTTGTCTTTGATTTCCTATTGACGTCAGATGTGTTTGACTTGAAGCGGTGCTGCACCGAATGATCAGTGTATGACATCAAAGTACCGCGAGGGCAACAAAGCATAAGGAGCCGTCTGCTCTCTTATTGCTCTCACAGTAATTTAATGTCATACAACAATCGGTCTGCGCAGCGCCGCTTCAAGTCAAACACACCGATGCTCTCTACAGTCCTCATACATTATGCATATGTGTATTTGCTTTGATTTGACCAAAAGTCATTGGTTGATTATGTACATTGCCTGCACTTTATTGGTCAAACCTCTTTTTCCAGTCATTACCTTCGGTAGCTATGAAAACAATAGCATAACAAAGCCAAAATCCAGCAATTTAATATATATGTGTGTGTATGTGTGTGTGAGACTTACAGTTTTGTGGAATAGTTTGAGAACCATGGTTTCATTATTACGCCTGGTGTGCGGATACTGAGTGTAGATCTTGATGTAGAACTTTGCCAACCCGTCTGACATCTACAACACAACAAACACTCAAATGCTTTCAAATCTGCACTATTATTCAGATATGTGCTCATGATCTCTGTGTGTGCTTACTTCTCCACGCCACACAAAGGCCATCACTCCTACTGCGATGTTTATGATGATCAGAAAGGACAGCAGGCCAGAAAACTGAACATCAGAAAAACAGAAATGTTTGTTCAGTACATAAATATAGTTCATCTAATTCAGGTCAGACAATTTTGTCAGTTTAAGTTAACCCTTATAAGCTATCCCTTTGGGATGTACATTTGGCTGTTAGTGTCTCCAGAGACCCCAGATATTAAATGTGAAGTTGTAACACAATAATGTAATATTAAAAAAAAAATTTAATATCACTCAACATTTACTCAACCAGCCATTGAAGAGGAGTGGACCAACATTCCACAGGCCACAATCAACAACCTGATCAACTCTATGCGAAGGAGATGTGTTGCACTGCGTGAGGCAAATGGTGGTCACACCAGATACTGACTGGTTTTTGGACCCCCCAATACAGTAAAAAGGCACATTTTAGAGTGGCCTTTTATTGTGGCCAGCCTAAGGCACACCTGTGCAATAATCATGCTGTCTAATCAGCATCTTGATATGCCACACCTGTGAGGTGGATGGATTATCTCGGCAAAGGAGAAGTGCTCACTAACACAGATTTAGACAGATTTGTGAACAATATTTGAGAGAAATAGGCCTTTTGTGTACATAGAAAAAGTCTTAGATCTTTGAGTTCAGCTCATGAAAAATGGGGGCAAAAACAAAAGTGTTGCATTTATAATTTTGTTCAGTGTAATCATTTATAGCAAAACTGTAAGTCTGATCAGTCTGAAATGATATAGCAAACAAATTAGACGTCAGGACCCAAGTCTCTGCCAAGTTTTGGGCTTGTAGCATTAACCTGTTAACCTGCACCCCCCATTTTGGGACTCGCAGCTGAAAATTACCTACCTAACTTAAAATTGTTACAGTTCCTGACAACAGTGTGCTACACACACAATTTTGGTGTCTTTGGATGATGGATAGTAAAGCCCAAAGGTCTTCTTTCCAGAGTTGAAAGATAAAAAGTTATAGACACTGAAGTGCCTTGAAAAAGTTGTACACGGATTTTTTTTTTTTCATATACAAATACATGAAATCAGTTCTGGAGCAATCCAGAAAAGTAATGGGTTGAAAGTCACATGTCTCATGAGTTTATATTTCAAATCTGAAGAAGGTACCATGCAAAATGAGATTCCTGCAAGCATTTTTGCTATGGCTATGTCTAGTCTAGTCTGGGCGCCCTCGAGGCAAAAGTGCCAGATTTTTTGAGCATTTGGTGTTCTTGAGCTGCCATACTGCAAAAAACAAAGTGCAACAGTTAGGCTATAGTTTTCCTACTATTTTTCTATGGACACCATGCTATTTTTTATTCTAATAAAAAAGCCTATTACGCTATGACAACAGCTTGGACAGAGCTGGCTAGCTGGATGTGAAATAAGTCATGCCTTTTATTGTTTTCCCTGTTTGTTATTTGTTAATAGTTTGTTACATTCAGTTATGTCAAATATGTTGCCAAATCCATTAAAATTAAGATAAAAAAAATGGTAACACTTTACAATAAGGCGTCATTAGTTAACATTAATTAATGCATTAGTTAACATGAACTAACCATGAACAACACCACTGTTCAGCATTAGTTAATATATGGGTAAGTTAACATAAACAAACATTAACACATCTATTCACGTTAACAGCTTAATTAGTTAACATTAATTAATGCATTAGTTAATGTGATCTAACCATGAACAACACCTCTGTTCAGCAGTAGTTAATCTAAGTTAACGTTAACTTGCACATATATTAATGTATCTATTCATGTTAACAGCTTAATTAGTTTACATTAATTCATGCATTAGTTAACATGATCTGACCATGGACAACACCTCTGTTTAGCATTAGTTAATCTAAGTTAACGTTAACTTGCACATATATTAATGCATCTATTCATGTTAACAGCTTAATTAGTTAACACATTAGTTAACATGAACTAATCATAAACAATAACTGTAAACAGCTTTATTTAATGTTTGGTAATGTAGACTTGCTGTACATATTTACATTGTTATTCATGTTCATAGGCACTTTACTCTCTACTTATATTGAACAAAGCACTTTAATTAACCTGTTAACCCGCACCTGGACGCCAGCGCACTGAACGCTCTTTGTTTGCACGTGTCAATGTTTACGAATAGATTAAATGAAACGGGACAAAATTAATCTTTACAAACTATATATCATATCGATAGATCGCCGTTTTTCAATGGAAAGCTTATAAGGAATGTATTTGCTAAATTTGTGTAAGCAGTACACATCAAAACATGCATAATCAAAACGCAGTACATACCAGATTCGTCGTAATAGCGAGTCATAAACAATTCTGGATTGCTCCAGGACTTATTTCATGTATTTGTATATGAAATTTAAAAAAAAATATTCAGTGTGATATAATTTTTTTCAAGGCACTTCAGTGTCTATAACTTTTTATCTTTTTGAGCATTATCAACTATGGATGATGGATAGTAAAGCCCAAAGGGTCTTCTTTCCAAAGACGCCAAAATTGTCTGTGTAGCACACTCTTGTCAGGAACTGTTATCATTTTACGTTAGGTAGGTTATTTTCAGCTGCGAGTCCCAAAACTGCACCCCAGGTTAACAGGTTAACAGACTTAGTAGACCTTAGTTAGTTGCTACAAAATGAGGTTGAAAATCCTGCTGTTCACTAGTTCACAGAAAACAATATATTGATTTAACTTTTGTAAGACATGATTTGTGATAAAACGGCCCTATGCGAGGGAGTGACGACGACCATGAATATTTAGTGATTCACACCGGAGAGACAAAGGGCCAAAGATAATGGACCATCAATATGAATGTGACTGAGGCAGGTAAGAAAGAGGGTGAGGAGAGTAAAATAATGTGGGTTTTTGATTATTTGTATTTTAACACAGTATAATACAAATATACACAGTGAAGGTCAAGGACACATGATTGAACATACTGATCTGAACTCTGAAACTTGAACAGTAACATTCATTCTTAGTGTTAACACTTGTACTACTTTTATATCTTGTGGTTTGTCAGGAATTATAGTTTGGGAGTTATTGGGTTAGTCCTCTCAGCGTGTCTTCTTCCAGAAACGAAAAGAAGCTGAGATGAACTCTAAACGTTTGTTTTTGGAGGTGATGTGGGTGTTTACATGTCCGCGCGTCTCATGTGGATATTTAGAATTTAAAAAGCATAATCGGCTCGTGAGCGTGACCGCATTAGAGATAATGAGTTGAGATGGGAAAAATCGCGTTGGTTTCATACGCATTACTTTATCAGAGAATATTTGTTTTGTACGTAACTTACTTCATTTAAAAGTAGGCATTTCAATCTTTCTATACATGTATTTTTCATGTATTTGAGGCAAGTATTATCATGAATTCTGTCCATAGACTTCCATCCGACTGCCACAAGAGACCGCCTCTTCATCATATTGACTCTCACACCACACAGACTGAAATCCTTCTGTGAGATGATGTGGCTTCTTAAACCGAATAAGGCACACAACATATTTCATAGTATTTAAGCAGTGATAAAGGCATTGCATTATATATATACTTTATTTTAATGAAAATTATAATAAGAACTCAGATAAATCGTACATTGCCGTAGTCGTGTGTTTATTAGTCACGTCACACAAAAGGCAGTTGTCATGAATTCTGTCCATAGACTTCCATCCGACTGCCACAAGAGGTCGCCTATTCATCATATTGACTCTCACACCACACAGCCTGTTACATGTCACTCCGGACTACATTTCCCATCATTCATCACACCGATTGCACACAGCTGTAACCAATCACATGCTCACCTGAAAGCTATTACATACATTATATAACGCCCACTCAGATCCTGCTCAAGTCGCCGAGTATTGTTCTACATTTATCACTCTCCTAGTGTAAGCTGCTTTACTGAGCCATTCCGTGTTTCTGTTTAGTCTCTAGTATTGTTCTGCGTTTATCACTCACCTAGTGATAGCTGCTTTACGGACCCTAGTTTCTAGTTCTAGTTTAGTCTAGTCATTTCGTGTTGCCTTGTTTCCTGTTTCCTTATTCCTGCCTGTGTATCTTGGATTAACCCTTGTCTCGCCGCTCGGACTCTGTTTGTACCTTGTCTGGACTATTGCTCATGGTTTCTGGATTACCCCTCTTGTCAAGCCCTCTGGATTCTGTTTGCCGATCGATGACTCATGCCAGCCCTAAGAATACTCTTTGTCTTTTCTGTTTGCTGATGCTCGACCTTGCCTGTGTATGACATGTCTATGAATAAAGCTTTGCGTATGGATCCGCACGTCTCACGTCTCATCAGCCCCGTAACAAGAATTCGCTGAGATTTAGGTTGTTTTATTTACGTTGTCTGTGAAGAGAGGTGACAGAGACCGAGATGGCAGAGAGCGCACCCTGTTTTTATTTTCTTTATTTTACAAAAGCACATTGTTTTGTTGTTATTATGACTATACACAAATAAAAGTAAACCCTTTGCAGTTTCAAATGATACCTTACTGTATTCTTATCTGTACAATCAAAAATGGAGTATTTTAGTTATTTTCGTGGTCATCAAGAAAATAAGAGACAGACCGCACCAGTGTGGGCTTCGACCCCAGAGGGTAAAATAGCATTTCAGTAAGTAATTTGTAGTAATTTCTCAAGCCAAATTAATAAGACGTTTAAATAGGATTTCAGTAAGTTCGCTTTCTCAAGCAAACTTAATGGGCCTCATTCATGAAACACAAGCAGAACAAATTTTTGTGCAAATCGTTCGTAAGGCCGTTCTGACGTAAACTTTCGAATTCATGAACATTTTTGTATTTTCAAAATGTTTGCTGGTATGAAAGAAATGTACACCTGCTCCCTACCATGTGTCCTACACGCGTAAATGGTGCGTAAAATGTTCTGTGCTCTTTTTTTGGCAAACTGGTGACACGTAATTATTATGGCAGTGCATCAAAATTCAAAGTTCACTTGCCCTTGCCCCCTTTTTTTGTAGCTGATAACTGTAAAACCCAGCGCTCGTCACTGTCCACTGTAAATAGAGGACAGGTGGGACAAATAGCAACAAACCATCCTACTTGTACAACGACTGCCTACAATAATGGAGAAGTCAAAATTACTAAGATACTTGTAATACGTCACCGCCATGGATGTTCCAAATCAAAGCAACCACAGCATCTCAGCTGGAAAATGCTGTGCCACCAAAAAGTTTTCAATCGCCACCAGCTGGTCGTTTTCAGAAGAGCACCTGACATTTTTTCAACTGGCTAAAACCTCTTTGGTGGAAACACGTTATTGAATATTTATTGTTAGGCAAATGGCCTATTAGTCTTTTTTGCATTTATGCAATATACTGGCGCCAAACCTGAGAAAGTAGACCAGAATATTCCACTGCATTCCTGGACACGCAATTTGCGTAGCTGTAATTCATAGGCGGGGATTATGCTAACTGTGAATAAGCGTGCACGAGCGCCCTATTTACAAATGATTGGAATTCATTAACATACACGTTTAACTAACAAATCGGATGTTTACGAAGCGTTTGTGAATCCGGAGGAGAGTTTTCGGGAAGGTATAGTTACATAAATATTCATGATGCATAAGTTTCATGAATGAGGCCCAATAAGTTTAAATAGTTTTTTTTTTTTTTTTTGGACAAATTATGTAACAAAAAGCATATTTTTAGTTTCCCATTGATGTCTATGAAAAAAATATATTTTAAATGTATTTATATATATATATATTTTTAAAACCCTAAAATCTTCCCAACACTGCACAAATGTAGACTAAAACATTAATAAAGTGAGTGATATTACATTTGTTTAAAAAATAATAAGAATAAAGAAATTATGTAACAAAATCACTTTTTTTTCACACTAACACACAGATATCCAGATATCATTACAATGTTTTTGTTTGCTTGTTTGTAGAGCTAGCAAGTGTCAACCACCACATCAATTCTCATGCCATTTAGATGAAGGGATTTTTTTTTTTTTTAAATTTCAGCAGAAGCCATTTGGGGTCAAAAAGACCCCAGATTTTCTCAGATACACACAAAGGAAAGAAGAGAAGAGTCATGACTGTTCCAGCTTTTCTTGACCGCGAGTTACATTTTACTGGTTTGGGAAAAATTGTCTCTACAAATCAGTTTCATCCTACTGTAGTCTGAATCCTGAAGGTGTTTTAAGCCTTTTATACTTTCTGAGCGCACGAGTCTGCTAGGGTCTGCGTGACGTAAAACAATCGTCATCGGAGGGTGTACACGGAGACTCTTTGTGGACATCTGTGTACCTCCAATTTTTTGTGACTGCTCGCACAAGTACGCGTGGTCAGTAGGTTACAAAAGCAACAATTGCGCATGTGCAGGCTGTGTGAAGTCCATCGCTATCTGCACCACTAAAATCCGTAAAAAAAAAACAATATAAAGACAGCCAGATGTGCAATAATTCATGGAGGGAAATTGCCCAGAGTTTGGGCAATTGCTTGTTTACTGTTTACATGTTTGTTTACTGTTCAAACTGATCTACTGCGCATGTGTGGAACACGTCCACCGAGCGGACCACCAGCATACACTTTCAGTACTATAAATACAAGTAGTCCACATCAGTGCTGTCCGTGTCTGCGTGCGCAGTTTGGATGCGTAAAGTATAACACAGACTTTACAGCTTTGTTTCAATGTCAACACATGCAATTCTTTAGAGATCATCTTGTGTTATATCTGCTGTATGAATAAGTATGATGCATCTGTAATGAGTATTTTCCTCACCACATTAAGAGCAGATTTATTGCGGCTACATGCGTGCGCCATGATTGCCGAGAACAGCGACCAGTGTTATCAGAATACCGGTGATGACCAACGCCGTCACACCTGACAGACAGAACACATAAAGTCAAGGATAAGCTTACAGACTGAAAAAGTGAGTGTAAATATCATTTAATTCAACAGATATAAAATGAGAAACAACAGAAGGACAAACCAATAGTGAATGGTGTTGTTTTCAGTCCATTCATTTGGTAAATTCCTATGAATCCAGTGATGACCCGAAACCATGTTCCCAGACAGACTAGCCCAAAACCCACCATCTGAAAGAAACACACAACGCTGCATCACAATCATCATCACTGGATCACAATCATTATCATCACTACATCACAATCATCACTTCATCACAATCATCACAATTAGGACTGCACAATATATAATTTTAGCATCGATATCACAATGAGCGCATCCACAATAGTAACATTGCAGAATGTGCAATGTGAAGTATAGGGATTGTAGTGGTAACACTTTACATTATTGGTGGAGAGGATACAGAGTGATGCAACCAATCAGTAGATATGGGGTGATTAGGAGGCCATGATTGTCAGAGGCCAATGGGAAAATTTGGCCAGGATGCTGAGGTCACAACCGTTTAACGTCTCATACAAATGAAAGTGCTTTTTGACTGAATAGTGTCCCCATCATTATGCTGGGGCGCTAGGACCCACAAAGACCACAGGGTGAGCACCCCCTGCTGGCCTCACTAACATCTCTTCCAGCAGAAACCTAGTTTTCCCAGGAGATGTCCCATCCAGGTACTGACCAGGCAAAACCCTGCTTAGCCTCAGTGGGTGACCAGGTGAGAGCTGCAGAGTGATAGCTGCTGGCTTAATGAGTTATAAATGTTAATAACTTGTGAAAGTGAACAAAAGCATTATGTATTATGTAACAATCACATTTTATTTAATTTTTTCACACTAAGCCATATATCATTACAATTAGTTTTTTTGTTTGTAGAGCTAGCAAGTGTCAACCACCACATCAATTCTCATGCCATTTAGATGAAGGGATTTTTTTTTTTTTTTAATTTCAGCAAAAGCCATTTAGGGTCAAAAAGACCCCAAATTTTCTCAGATACAAAAAAAAAACGTTATAAAGGTTAATAACTTGTGAAAGTGAACCTTACACTAATCATTTATTTATTAATTACTAATGCACACACAGAATAGTTTTTTCTGGTGAAATGTATTTTATTGTTGATGCACTATATGTTAATATCTAAATATAACACTTAAGTATATTTTATCTAATTTAATAGTTTTGAAATAGCTATTTGAAATAATCATTGAAATAATAAATCAATGACCAAAAGCACCATGAAAGAACATTATCATGATATCAAATATAATTACTGATTGCTTATTAATATGATAAAAGACCACTGTAACTGGAGTATTTGGCCATCCACACTTGCAGTATCTGTGCGTGAGCAAACCGACCACAGGAGCACTGGTGTGGTTTTTTTTTTTCATGGAAATGCTCCAGTTACTACATAACATCGGTTCCCTGAGATAAAGGAATGAGTGTTGCGTCAAGGACGCTTATGCAGAAATTGTACAAAAAACCTGTTTACTCCGATACTGAAGCCTCCAGTACTCCCACCCACAACATTCATGTTTTGTCCTGCTGCCGCCCGCAAAAACCCACATAAAAGTAGCCAATATAGGCTTTTTCTGTACATCCATGAAATTTACATGACAGTAAGTTCTGTGTCGCCTAGCCACAACCAGCATTATTTCATAGTGTCCCAGCTCAAACACTCCCAGTAAAATATTTGTTATTAAAGCATCAGCATTCACAAACCACTGTTATTTTTAACAAAAAAGAAATCATAGGCTGCTACAGGCATGATTTAGAAGCGGAAATGACGTCGTTCCACACTCTAGTAGGTGGCGGTACTGCACATTTACATGTCTGAAGCGGCTTTGGTAACACACGTGCAAATTCAAAAGTAGCACCAGAAGAAGCGTTCTCTTTGCTATTTTGCACTGGAGTGGCCTGGATCACAGTTTATTTGTAAGGTAAGTTATATCTGTACTCAGTGTATATTATTTGACAGATTTCACTGTATTATTAGTGTGGTTGATGTCGTATTACACTAATATCAATATATTGACTATTGTTTATTCCACTAGCAAGCTAACTTGCACATGGTGCTAATTAGGGCTGGGTTGAAATCTATTTTTTTATTTTAATCATTTCTCATTGTGACAGTGATCTCATTGTAAGTCCCAAGAATTGAGAGATGCTGTTTTAACTTGCTGCAATATTATTTGTAGTGCGCCTCCTAATAAATCACAATAAAGATTTGTTACTTGTGATATGAAGCAAAGTGTCAGATTTCAAATTCTGTCAATTGTATTACTAAAGTTAAATCTTGTGAATTTGTGTTGAGAAACCTGCAAAGGAAAAGCTAAGACTGTTATTAATGTTAAGTGAGCTTCTTGAGACTGTAAATATTGATACCTGTTTGTGTTTACCATCTCGGTTGTGGAATAAAGAAGCTTGTTTCACCTATACAAACCTTGTTCCTCTCCTTACAGTTGTGACAGAAGACCAGCCTATCAAAGGAACACAAGATGGAAAAGCGGAATCCAACCGCCTCCGATCCCTTCACCGTATTGGTAGAAACATTCAGTTCCTCACTTCAGTCACCACCCGTCACTTCATCTGCCTTCGCATGTCCCATGGGCAAGCCCACAACTTATTCCGGTGAGGCGTCAAGAGTGCAGTGGCTTCCTTTTGCAATGTTCCCTATATTTCGAAATGCAAACACACCAATTGGTGAGTGAAAGAGCAAAGATCGCCTTTATCATATCCTTGCTGTCAAGGCGAGCGCTTCAATGGGCAAGATATATCTGGGAGTCTCAAAGCCCAGTAACACATTCCCTAGACTCTTTTGTAAACCATTTCAGAGAAGTGTTTGGTACCTCAACCTCGGCGATCTCAACCTGTGCATGACGAGCTCTTCTGACTATGGCAAGTGGATATGTCCATTCACGATTACACTGTGCGGTTCCTAACTCTCGCCACGACCAGTGGATGGAATGAGATGGCTCTCCTCTCTGCATTTTGTCATGGGCTAAATCCTTCTCTCCATCAGCAGATGGCTATTTATGAGGATACAGTGGGACTTGACAGCTTTCTACAAAAGGCCCTGCACATTTCCCAACACTTAACCGCTTGCCATACTGAGGAATTGTCATCACCTGCCGCTTCACCAGACACCATCTCCCCAGTAACAGAGCCCATGCAAATGGACCGCTACCATCTGTCCACGGCAGAATGGCTTTGTCGGGTGACACAGCGGCTCTGTTTGTACTGTGGAGCAGATGACCATCTCCTGCCTTCCTGTCCAGCACGCCCCCTACACGCCCAGCTGTGGAATGTACTCACCGCTGGGCGTGTAGGGCGTACACACCGCAATGTATTAAAGCTGCCTCACATTGATGCTCTCCTAATCCACAAAAAAAAAACAATCTTTTCCAGCAAAGGTCCTCATTGATTCTGGATCCTCAGGAAACTTTATATCCTCTCACCTCCTCGTCCAAATTCATCTTCCACGGCACAGGAATGCTACCCGCTATCAAATCACCACCATCCAGGGAAAACTGCTGGGTAAGGGCTTGGTGTGCTACCAAACACCAGAGGTCACTCTTTGAATCGGATGTCTGTATACCGAACAGATTTTCTTCCTGGTTTTGAAGGAGTCAACAGTGGATACCGTCCTGGGATACCCATGGCTTGCTCAATACCAACCAGCTATTCACTGGAACACTGGAGAAATAATCAATTGGAGTGAGTACTGTGTCAAAGAATGCCTGAATGATTTCCCTGAGATACCTTGTGCTATTACCTAAGCAGTAATCTGTTCCACCACAGTGGAGAGTCCAGATTCACAACATGCTGTCGAAATTCCAGCTTCAACGTCTCCACTAACACCAACTCTATCTGAAACTGGAGAAGTGCGAGTTCCACCGGTCCACCATCCAGTTCCTCGGCTACATCATAACACCAGATGGAGTGCAGATGGAGCAGGGGAAGGTAGATGCAGTAAAGAACTGGCCACAACCCACCACCATAAAGGATTTACAGAGATTTCTTGGATTCGCTAATTTTTTACCATCAATTCATTGCCCAGTAAAGTCAGTTATCTGCTCCCCTGACTTCCCTCCTCCGTCGCAAAACCAAGTCCCTGTCCTGGATGCCAGAGGCCACGAAGGCTTTCCAACAACTGAAGTCAGCCTTCTGCACCGCTCCTGCACTCTCTCAACCTGATCCTTCGCTCCCCTTCGTAGTTGATGTAGACGCCTCTACCATAGGTTACCATAAATATTATCACAGAGAAAAGTTGAACCACCAGTACTCCATCCATTTTCGTACTTCTCCAAGAAGCTTTCCCCCGCGGAGCAGAACTACGACATTGGGAATCGTGAGTTACTGGCCATTAAGCTCACCCTGGAGGAGGGGTGGCACTGGCTGGAGGGAGCACTACACCCCTTCGAAGTCATAACAGACCACAAAAACCTCCAATATCTCTATGATGCCAAGCGCCTCAACCCACGCCAAGTGCATTGGGCCCTATTTTTTAACTGCTTCAGATTCACCATAACCTATCTTCCTGGCCACAGGAATCTGAATCTCCTTCCAGACGTCTTTGTTTGTCCCACTGAATGGTCAGATTCGTGCCGCCACCCAAGAGGAACCTGTTCTGCTGGGAGGTCCAGAAGGGAAGACTTATGTACTCAGCACCTTTCGCCCAGAGCCCAGTTACATCCCGTGGAGTTCAAGTATCTATCTCAATGAAGACATGGACACACTCATCAAATAATATATGGTAAGTGTATGTCAACCTGCACTTTTTACATTATCAATGTTTTATGAATATATTTACAATGACAGTTACGTTAATTTTCTCATTGGCATCACAGTCTAGCTTTGCCCATGTGTGTGTAGTATGCAGCAAATTAGTAAAAAAAAAATTTTAATTTTAAGTTCAGTACTTGGTTCAGTCAAAGATTTACGTACACTGAATTCAAAATAATTTTCTTAACAAGCGTGTTCTCTATAGTTTATTTGAGAAGTAATTGCACATTCACAGCTGTTATAAATGGCTATGCAGAGTAAAGTTTAAGTACAAATAATTACAAAGAAACATCAATTAATAAATTTTTTAAAATGTGACATTTTGAAGTAAAATACTGAAATAGTTTTTTGGTCACAATAGTGGGATAACATTGAACTCAGGTATACAATATAAATCCAATTGCAGTTGTTAGTGAAAATTGCAATAAAATATTGCAATGACAAAATATGGCACTAAATTAAAAGTTCAAATGTAACAAATAAGTTACAATATTGATGTTGTAATACTGGTTCTGTATTATGGTTCTGTATGATTGGTTCTGTCTTTCACTGCCGAGCGCTGCCGTGTGTTTTGAGTTTGAGCTCCATCAAGTTAATTCTTTG